GATATATATATATATTTTGTTTGATGCAACTAATTTTTCTTTATTTTCAGTATTTTGATATTAACATATGTTTACAAAAAGGATTTGAAGCTTTAATAACTTATTACATACGAGCGCTTTCGATACAGTTGTCATCTTCAGGGCTCTACTCAAACTGAATGTTTTATCTTCTTGTTTGTTCTTTCATACGGTTAGAACGCATCATTGCAAGTATTTGTCCTCTCCTTTCATCCGGATCTCTCTTTAAATTTGCCTGTATTTGGGTTACAACAGGTAATATCCTTTGTTCATTATTTTGAGGAGTGTGTATTGTATTGTGTAGTATATTGAATGTTAGGTCTTGTTGTTTTGATTTGTATTTGTTCCTCGATAAGTGAATTACAACCTATTGGTGTGACACCCAAGTCTACTTGCCAAATTTTAATGTCAGTGTTGGTGGTTTGACCAATCAATCGACAACTGCAGTAGCAGTTTCAATTGTGTCATATGTCTCGCTTGTGTTAACGCAGTTATTTTTATCAAATACTTTTCTTGGTAATTCATATTTGGTTTTCAATCGAGGACCGCCTGAACTTTTGAATGCTTTCCGAATATGAATCGCTTAGTGTATCAACATAATCCAAAAGTAATTCGCTTTTTACGAAAAAAAAAAGAAGTACAATATTATAGGTATTACTGTCACAAGTCACTAGCAACTCAAAATCAATTTTAATCGCTCATGTAAGACATTTTATATGATGTGCTATAAATATTCATGGTGAAATTTAACCGAGCCGCATTCACGGTTTTCATATTTAATGAAAATTAATAGAATACCTACATGAACTAGTCGTTAACAAAACTCTTTCGTAAAAACTGCATGAAAGATAAATCAATAAATACTTCGTCACGTCTCTTAATTCATTTTGTACAGTTGAATTATTCGAAATTATCAACGCTTAGATTATCGTACAGCAATCACCATCGAATGATCAATGGACATTTCGAAAAAACAAACACGATTCTTAAAATGATTCTTAAATGAATCACGTGAAAAATTTTGTGTGAACGCTCATCTGTAATCGTTACCTGTCCACTTAGTTAAAGATACATCAATTAGCTTAAATGGGAGAGAAAGATAAATTCGCTCTATTCGTTTGGTAGAGTAACCGTAAATTTTAAAGTTAGCACCTAAAATAAAAAAAAAAATGATATTATGAAGGATTCATATAGATTCTACATCTATTTCATTCTTATTTGAATTGCACTTTGTTAGATAGAAACAAGCAAATGTTNTGTAGAAATATGAGTAGCAGTAATCAAAATAGAATCTGATGCTGTATAAAATTTCATTATCAATCTTTTCTTATATTAGAGACTACTCGATGAGGTCTTGTTTAGAAGTAACTTTTTTTATTTACTAACAAAACAAATGAATAATCTGCGTTTAAAATGACACAAACAGAAAACCTCGATATTAACATATAAGAAACAGTTATTGTTCTTTATACATATGAGTTACTACTTAGTTACTGACTCATGTTAAACTCGAAACAGATCCAATTAGGAGGTAATCTGACCTTAGTGCATTTTCAGCAACAGAGTAGCGTTCAATTATTTTTGAGACTTCATTCTCTTTGATAATGCCATATTAAAAACTGATATTCTAATGTTCTGTTGTATCTATATCAGATTGGTTCCATCCTTGAAAACTAATGTCGTTATACTACCGATTGGATGAATTATCACCACGATCTTGTTGAAATTTCTCGGAATCGTATATCACAGATAGTTCAGCATTAGAATAGATGAATTTTAAAAATATGTCGTTCGTTTGAAGAAACTAGGTCATCGTTTTTTATGAAAATATAAACACACCTTTTATTGTCTGTTTGTTAATATCAATTTTGTTCCATCGATATATAAAATGAATAACAAATATTTACTCGCGCTGCTTCACAATCAATCAGTTGCAACGGATGTTTATTAAAACCGTTGAGCTTTTTTCATTGTTTCATTGGAAAGATAGCATATCGCATATCAACAACGAAAACAAAACCATGAATTATAACAATTTATACAAGGGGCAAAGATAAATTCTACTTACGGTTTCAATATGAAAAAATAATGAATACTCTAAGTCACTTTTGAATGGAAATGAATTTACCGAAAAGGGATCCAAATTATTTTTAACGTTGTTTTATATAATGAATCAGGTATGATGTATTGTATAAATCCATTTGAATAGTTTATTGATGAAGTTTATTAGCTCCGGAACCATTTTTAGGTATTGAGTGGTTGAAATAACGGTTAATATTTCATAACGTTTCGAAACGGAGAATGGCATGGTATTGTAAAGTTAGAACAAAGTGGGATTCGATGCTTCCATCTGATGAAACAGTAAGTTATTCTCAAAGAAACTAGAAAACAAGAAAATCTATGGAGTCGGCAAAAGACTCAATTTACAAATAAATATAAAATATTTCCTTCAAAGAGGTAAAATGCTATAAGAATCTAAACATGCGATG